GGGGGGCCGGGGGGGGGCCGGGTTGATTAATCAAGAGTCTACATTACATGTTCGGTGGTTAAAAACCGGGTCCATGTATTTACTCAGTCCACTCTTCACTCTTCGCAAAATATCTACAAGTCTGCAGGTGCTTCGCCACCTCCAAAAACATTATCCCCTGAAAGCCGCTCTGTCCCCAAGACCGAGTCCTCCATGACAAAACCATTTACTTTTGGAATCTTTGGAGCCAGTGGCAGGTTCTTTTTCGAGTTTCTTGGCCTCGAGTGGATCCGTTTTCTAATAATATGTCCATTCAATTCCTCCGCGCGTACTCTCAAAAACCAGACCTTCCACCTTCCAAACCCCTGGTTTCTCAAGCCAAAGCACCACCAATCCACCCGCAGGAAGGTCCCTACCCGACGGGTTGTCATGGTCCAAACTTCACTGGCCCACGTCAAAAACAACATGTGAGGATATGAATCCTTCAGGGGCGACATGTGAAATTCCAGACATATAATCCAAGCCATTGCAATTCCCTTGGAAAGGACCCGGGTGCAAAGTGATTCGATCGAAAAGCATTAAAGACCACAAACAAACCCTGACATGTGTCACCCCAACGTGCTGAGGGACGGACCAAGTCAACAAGACTCGGACTTCATGTACAGTAAATGTAGACTCTTGATGAACTTTGAGAAACCATCTCACCTGAGGAGTATAAACGTATTTAATGGACATGTAGTAATTGTTTACAATCCAACTGTTTCTTTTCAACTCATCAAAAGTCATACACTCCGACTCGCCAACATGAACCTGGAACAAAAAGCCTCTTCGTAAAAAGGAGAGCTGTGGGTCTTCCTTTCGGAACCAACATGGACCAACTACATGCAGTATATCCCATTCCACTACCAACACAGGTTGAAGGACCCTATAGACCATCCCAGTTGGGTACCCCAGGTGACGGGTCCTAGTTCAGGTCACTGGCTACCTCTCTTGGTCAACCGTCCGTGACCGTCGTGTAGTTTGTCTCGTCCGAGTCGTCGGGCCCTGCGGTCGAACGAACGGGCCAACGCCAGGCCGCCACCATGACGTCGCGGGTGTCGAAGAGGCTGCTCTCAGCGGATCGACCGCGGCAGGGTGGTCGTTCCCGAGAAAGCGAGTTCACGCCCCGCACAGCGAACGGGACGGTGCGGTTCCGCATTGGAGTGTGGGACAAACCCGGAGTGTGTGAAAGAGAGAAACAAGTTAACATGAACAAACAAAAACAAACACGTTCGCAGCGTGTGGTGAGTTTCTTTCCTGGCCGCGTTTGACGGTTTGCTCAAAAAGTGTTTCAAATCTTTGCTGCGTTTGGCGGTTTTCTTTTGAAATCTTGCTACTCGGATAATTTTCAATTTTCTATAAAGGACAAAGAGGCGGCATGGACAGGATGGCACAAGGTAGGTTTTTGGTGAACCAAGAGCAAGGGTCAAAGCGAGGCTGGGGGGGGCCGAGCATCTCATGTATTCGGCCATGGGCTCCTCAAATCTCAAATGTTGATGTGTTGATACATGTATATTCTTTCTCTTTCTGTCCGTCACGGTCTATCTTTGCTGCTATCTTTTGTGCTTTCTAGAGTTTTCTGGTTGTCTTTCTCTTGCTTCCTTCCTTCCTTCCTTCCTTCCTTCCTTCCTTCCTTGTGGTCTCTTCCTTCTGTTGCTTATATCTTCTATATAGTTCTGTTTCTTTCCAATATTCTGTAGTTTGTTCTTGCATCATGTATTACTTATTTTCCAGGAGTAGATTCTGGCCTCACCTGGATATGGTCGATTGAGAGTATACGCTTATGCTTCGTGGCCATTGTGGTTGATGTGACTGTAGCCCTCGTCATGGGCGGTGAGGGTGCACTTTCGCTGCATCTCTCACCGCTTCGGTTAAGAGCGCGCCAATATTATAGTGCCACGAACCGTGTGGCAGTCGTTGCTAATGGGAAAGGCCTCTACATCCAACAGGCAAAACGCTCCGCACACTGCTGATACTTGGAATTCCGATCGAGAAGACGAGCTGAGCATCCGCTGGAAAGAGGTGCACTTCTTCAACGAGCGCGTGGAGGTGCACTTCTTCTCTATAGAGTTAGAGTCAACTGGAGTGCTATCAAATTTCACGAGGTCCTGGTTGCCAGGGCCTGTTTGTTATTTTAACTACCGCAGCTTGCATGCATACATATGTGACGTGCATTCGTCTACTGGAGTGCATTCGTCTACTGGAGTGCATCTATGGAGTCAACTGGAGGGGACAACCACCTGGGACCCAACAAAAAGGGCAGAAATATGTTTGGAGAAGAGAGTTTCATGACTCCACTGATCTCCACTGTACTCTTCTCAAGGACTGGAGTGCATTTGCAGCGTTGCATGTTTGAAGGTCGAGCGATCAAATCTTCTCTTGTGATGACTGGAGCCCTCTTCGGAGGGGGCGACCACCAAACCCAACAAAAAGTCCTGAAGCATTGGAATTTGGATGTCATGCAATTCTACAATTCTACTACTCACCAGAAAACGGAACAACATAATAATCTCTCAATTTGCCTAGTATCTCATGATCTGATCTATCATCTATGTTTGACCGGCTGTTGGCAGCACAAATCCATCTACAAGCATCTTGGAAGCCTGGAGGCTCATCCACCTGCCAGTAATTACATCCAATTCATGGCAACCAAACACCTCCCTGAAACCGGCAGGTCCTACTTGCATCGGAATGGTCACACCAAGCCACCACAATGAGCAACCGCCGTGCGGCAACCCAATGCTCCTTATGCCTGAGGCAAAATTCACATACACGGTCGACCATGGTTTCAGTGCGGGAGGAGGAAAAAGTAAACTCACCTGGAAAAGCCCCCCCTGTTTGTGGACGAAAGTTGTCTTTCCACGGCCCATACCATCCAGTTCCATGTGATGTGTTTGTCAAAGAGTAACGTCTTCACGCATCATGTGGTCCGCCTGATTTCATCACACAAACTTTCCCACGTGGAGGGACTCTACTGAACTTCTGGTTGGTGCTGAAGTCCATCAACACATTCTGGGGGGAAGTCACCGGCGAGATGTTGAAAGGCATTCTGCCTTCCGTTCTGGTGAAGAAATAGTTTCTTTGGGGTATAACCCCGCAATGCTTCGAAAGCTGCCTGTTCATGCTACTCCCTCAATGCTCCCCCAGTGGTTTCGTGCCTATAGATTCACAATTACAATTACGCTCCCCGAAATTGTCATGGTAGTGGATGGCATGGCCCCGGAATGTCATATTTGCCTACATTTGAAAAGTACGTATCATAATGTATCATCATTATATATCATACGTATCATATTATTAACACCTATGGACCTATGACCATCTAGAACCATTTGGTCTCCTTTTCGGAAAGGGCCCTGAAGATAGGGCGCTTGGTGGTCCAAAATAGAGGTCACAGTTGGCTCTTATAGGTGTGAGTGTCGATATACTTCAGTCCCATCAAATGAGAACGCAGTACGCACTTGTCCCTGTGCATCTTCACTACCACAGAAACCGAGACTTGCATAGGAAAGCCTTTGCCCACCCCACAAGTCTTGGAACGGCTCCACTTCCAAAATCCAACCCTCTCCGGACGTCTCAGGACATCCACCACGAGTTTCCCGGCCAAAATCTGTGATAAACCGGAAAATGTTGAACAACTGTCATTTCAGAGTAGTTGCGGTAGTGAGATTGACTAAACCGCAAAAGGGGCCATAGACCACTGAACAATGGTGTCTTTGGAATTGGTGCCTTCTACATTCAGCATTCTCACTTCTCACCGTCAGGTGCCCCGTATCGAATCAGAGTGTCTCTTCCACCAAATGGGCCACACTGGACCACTTCGCCACAATCTCATCGATCACCGTGCGGTTCTGGCCTTGCAAGGCCCAAAATTCGGCAACAGCGGCACACGCGGCCGTGCCGCCAACGCAGCGATGCCAACCCCAAAACACGACCTGTCTGGGACTGCCAGGACTGCCGCCCCAGAAAAGATCCCCCCTTTCACCATCCCTGGGCCGTTTGTCGGCAGTCCGACATGGCAGTCCCAGACAGGTCGTGGCCACCTGGTCAACGTCGTTTCCCCGCTCGTGTCACACGTTGGAAGATCCAGCGATGCCGACCGATCCCTGGAGCGTTGGCCACAAGCCAGGCGCTGACGTCGAACTTGGGTCAAATGGTGACGAGAGTCCATTGAGCATATAGATAGGTAGGAACCAAGTGTCAGCAAACTGAAAGCTATGATTGATGCGCTGATTGATACGCCTGAAGAAACTCAAAAACTTCTCTTGATCCATCCATTTCGGCCGAGTTGGCGTTTGCATGTTTGCACACGATCTATAACGATCTGACGTTGCTTTCCCGGTTTTATGCTTGTTAGTCCTTCTGGACACCACCGGGCCCAGTCCCAGCAAAGCCCGTCCAACCCTGAGGGCATCCTTCGAGTGACAGTGTTGGCGGGTCTGCGCGTCGAAGCCGCAGTGGAAGTAGTGGAGCACTTTCTCCTTGGCAACCAAACCCAAACACTCCATGGGACTGCCATATATGCCTACATTGGGCTGGTTTGGGGGGTCAATGTAGGCATACTTGTAGGCATATACTTGTAGGCCAAACCCAAACACTCCATGTATGCCATATATGCCTACATTGGGCTGGTTTGAGGGGTCAATGTAGGCAAGTGTTTGGGAAATGTATGCTTGGGTCTACCCCATTACCGGTATAACAAAGGATGATGATGGTTCCGTTGCAAGCCTTGTTCAAAAACAGTGATAATTGTTGACTGACTGTTACAGGTAATATGACAGACCCAAATGTATGCTGGCTGAACACCCGCAAAGAATCAACATCCGGAGTGTTCAACTACTCTGGCGATGAATCAATTACATATCGATCTCCCTCCCTATTCCCTGTACTCTTTGTAAATCTGGCGGCAGCTGCCTACTGGCACGTTGCAAAATTGCTTGCTCCTCCTTTCCTAAAAATCTCACATGGCAGGAAACACAGTCATTGCATGTCATTGCCATTGCACAGTGATCTATACTACCCCTCTACTCTACCGATGAAGCTCGCCCAAAAGCGATCGCCAAGCCGAGGCTCCAAGCGATCCAAGGGATCGCACACCAACATGATGAGTTTCACCCTGTCCAACATACTCAGCGCCACCAGGCCTCACACACCGCGCTCTGTTAGTGCCGGGCTGGTCGGTGTTCCTATGCTCTGGCTCCATGAGACAGTGCGGCGTGCTTCTCCGGATGGAGACATTGCCACCCTGTTCATCCCTTTTCACGTGGGGACATGTGTAGTTGTGCAGCGTGAGGAAAGTACAGTATCTGACACGTGTGACATGGAAACCAACAAAACACATGCATCAATACGTGTTGAAACCCAGTTCTCAAACCCATTCCACCGGCATAACCTCAATGAAAACATTGCCTTATAGCCTATGGCCATTTGCTACTTGCTGTCTTGGTGGCGCGATGCCTAAAAGTCTTAAAGTTTTACCATTCTGGTCCCATTCTTGGCCACACCTCACCAACACCCAATGGGCCTGGGAATTCTACCACGTAAGAAACCACGGTTCCCAGCCTCACGGTTTTTGTGTTTGGGAAACCACTGAAAGCACTCAGTTGCCTCTCGCAATTACGTGTAATTATCCTCTAAGTGAGAAAGACTTCCCTCTGCGCCTCATCGTCGCAGTGTTCGACCAGTCATGCCTCTACAGCTAGCGATAGATAGGGATTGCTATAGCCTCCCAAATTCCGGTCCTAGCGTCCGAAATCGAAGTTGTGCAGCTGGAAGTTCTTCCTGAAGCTCGGACTCCAGACTGGTGGGGACTTGGGGCGAAGACGCGCAGGCGACGGAGTCCATGACGAAGAAGGGCGCCAGCATGCGCCGGCAGTGGCCCAGTGTTCTGATATCATTGGTTCTTCCAACCAATTTAAGAAGGTGAGCTGAGAACATCTGAGAACAGGTTCTGGTGCTGTTTTTCATGCGTCCATTGAACTGTCTGCTTACCGCGCCAAAAAACGCGCCCCCGCTGAGCAAACAGCATCGACGCCTGCGAAGGGTCCATCGCTCAAACTATCTCAATTACTAAGTCCTCTTTTTGATATACCAAGGAAAATGCTTCTCTATAGTAAGACGCCAAGTTTGGCTATCAAATGCCATGTGCCCCCGTGCCATGTGCCAGTGACCTTTTGAGATCCCAGGAGGCGGTCAGTTAGAGAGACCAAAGAGGTCACTTTCAAGGTCCTGGTCCTCGTACCTACTTTTTTGTCGCTTTCGATTTTCTGGGGTGCGGTCATGGTGGTATAACAGTATAACGGTTGAGACTCCGGTACGGCTCGATGTGGAGACCTAATGGGTGCGAACCGCCGAACGAAGTCCACCCCTGCTGCCCCAGCGTCACTCCTAGCACCACTCTTTCCTTCCTCTCTCCGTGGCACCTTCTGCGTGAGATCCGCAGCTTTTGTGCAACGGGTCAGTGGGGACGATCATGTTGACCCGAGCAATTTGGCTTAAGGGAAAACCTGGACGACAGCATCTGCTCCGGATCTGGGGCCACTCAAATCCCCCGTAAAGCCATGGAGGCCAATAAGAAGGGCCGTACCTGGGGGTTTGGGCAGGTGGGTATATATGTATATATATATATATTTGCAAGTGCACCGCGAAGACGGCCGCAAACTAAAAAAATGAGTGCTACTATCACATTCCTGAACAAGAAATGCACCTGAAGGAAGCGGAAACCACCTGCACAAAGCGGACATCACCTGAAACAGAGGTGGAAACATGTGGAAACCGCTGGGTCTTAGGTTAGCATGATTGATCATGATTGCACTGCGCATTCTGTTACTACAAGGTCACCGTTTCGTTGCGGGTCGAATGCCCTGCCTTGCGCTCAGAGGTTGAGTGGCTAACGACCCTGCTGACAAGGAAACATACATGGGAATACTAGGGTTGCTCTGCTACCATGGTACCAGGGTCACCACTCGATGCCTTGCGAATATTGGAGAGGCCCAGGCTTGCTATGTCTATGTAGTATTCAGGAACGATTGAAGCATGTAAAGAATATCTATGGTGAGTGTTCTTGCCATTTCAGGGGGTTTCCCACAAGCTATCCTGGAGTCAAGTTCTCTCTGCTACACTCTGACTGCTCTACTGAAACTCCTCAGCCTCCCATCCGAACCCAGTAGTCTACAAGTTGCCGGCCTTGGAACAAATCCATTTGCAACTGAATTTTGAGAATAACAAACACTACAAAAAGACGTATATAATTTCACCTTGAAACCATCTGATGCTTGGCTCGGAGCATTGACCTACATGGACCTACTTTGTTGACCGTCTACGACCTTCCCCCTCCCGCCGATATGGTATCTCTGGGAAGATCCAAAGCCAAAGTAAATCCATTGGTTGTGATCATTTCAGTTGCTGAACGGGGCATGACTCAACCTAGACCGATCTAGACCATGCACCGGTGCCAAGTCCCGGGACCCGGAGAAAGAACCTGAACCTCAACCGACAGGTTTGGCTCCGTCCAGTCCGGCGCCCCGTCCGACCCAGCGAGGGTCAGCATAGACCCAGCTAGGCAGAATCCCATAGCTTCGCTCTCTGGGGAGAAAAAGAACATGCTCCATGGAACCGGGAATGGAGAGGAAATTCACCTATAGATTCACCACTCCAGTCTGCCACCAGTCTGCCGTGGGCCACGAAGGACTGGTGTCTCATTGGAGCGTCGGACTGGTGTCGAGAAAGCCCGGAGGGAGGTTCGACCGGGCTCGCCTGGCCCGGCCGCAGCGGACCATATTCACCTGCGCCTGCGATGGAAAGTCTGCAGTCCGGAAATCTCACCAAACAACCTGGTTGGCACTGCTTGGGCTCCCCTCTTCTACAGATTGTGAGTGTGAGTGAGAGTAAGTGTGAGAGAGTGAGTGAATGCATGTGAATGTGAGTGACCTTCCTAAAATCAACCAAAATTCTGATACATCAAACCTTCCGCGGTTCTTACCTGCTCCTCATATATGCGTGTTCTCGGTGCAAGTGACTTGTTAGGCCAGGCCTGCACAAAGGTCGAAGAGACCCCAAAACCGCTACGTTTTGACGCATCGTCCCACGCGCGTTCACCATTGCCGTTGCCCCCCGAACTGCCCAGCGAGGCCGTCAAAACAACGCACGCACGTTTCCCTCGCACGTACTCCCGCCGAACCTCCGTGGGGAGCAAGCGGAATCCACCTGGCGAACAAATGGGAACTCAAACTCTTGGGCCGGGATGGCTACACTCCCGAAAACTAACATGGAAGTGGAAAACCACCTGTTTGTAGTGGAAAATGGTCTTCCAAGGGGCCATTCTCCACTTCCATGTTAGTTCCAGGGAATGTAAATGTCAAGTTCTGCATCGTCAACATCGTCAACTCAAACACCATCAATTTGACCATGGTCACCAGCTTCAGGCGGTGCTTCTCTTGGCCTGGCTGCTAGCCCATTGCTGCTTTGCTGGCAACCACGCACACCTTGCGCACCTTGTTATTGTTACACAAATCTCAAGCTCCGTGTCTCTTCCACAAGAAAAGTGGCCCAAAGATTCCACAAGCTCAAAGGACAAGTTGTCACCCACGCTCGTTGACTCCAGCTGTCTTTCGGTCACACTTCTGCAAAACTCAGTTGTTCCGGTGGTCTTTTTGACGCACAGGCCCGGTCTCGGGCGTTTGCCCGCGGCAGGATCTTTCGGATCTTGCGTTGGATCGCGGAGGTCTTGGCGGCGCTTTTCAGGCAAGCTCTGGAGGGAAAGGCGCAGGCCTTCACTGAAGCCACAGGCCCTTTCACATCTTTCACTTGGCCTCCTCATTCAGGCTTCAAGAAACCTTTTGCAAACAAATTATAGCGATCATCCATTGTACAGCCGGGAGCTCAAGTCACATCAAGTGACTTGGGGATGTAGATGGATGTAGCCATTTCGCCGCTGGAGAAGTCGATAGTGATGGGGTCACATCACTGCAGGGCGCGCAAGCTCTTTAACCGTTTTGATCAAGTAGATCGAATTCTGAAAATGATTTGCTTAAGGAACCTGGAGGGAACATCCTAAAAAGGACCTCCAGAGAGATTGGCTTGTTTGAAGGGGGAACAAGAAGGTCCCGGAACCATCATCAGTCAGGCTGATGGGCTTGATTGTTTGCTCCTGTCAGGGAGTTGGAGGCTCGAAGCGGCCGCTTGGTGGTTCCAAAGCGGCATTTCAACATGAACAATGCTGTGCGGCAAGTTGTTTCTGTTGGCCTCCAACCTCTGTCCATTCCCAGGCACAACCACCTGCCTCTTTCACTACAAGTAGTGCTTCCCCAAAAGTAAAAAAAAGTCCAAGGAAATTCAGTGACCTATCAAGCCATATCAAGCCAGTGATTCTGAGAAGCCGGACAAAACACATTTCTTTGAGCTCCTTATCTATCCAGCTCCCAAAACCCTCGCGAAGCTCGCGGCCAAGTTCGGTCGCCTTGGTATTCATAAGCATAGCCTGGCGCAAAGAGTTCATCCTCATTCTCGTTGGTAAAGCGCACCTCCGCATGCCTCGGGCTGTGGGGGCTCCCACGGCCGGCTCGCACCAGTGTGGCTGGGACGTGATCGTTGTTTGGAACCGCAACTCCTGAGGAAGAACATGATGTTGGCACTGAGAAGTTGATGTCAAATCGAACCTACCCTCATTGACCATGCCCAGCTCACAAGTACAAACTGTGAAAGATCAATCATATCAAACATTAACATCTCAATACTATAATTTAATGTTCAACATTTGGATGCTTTTGATGGAGTCTCCACCGCTCATCAACCAAGCGCCAGCTGTACAACACTTAACTCGTGTTGACTATGCCATCTAAAAGGAACATCCTGATGCATCTGAGGGCTGAAATCCATATAGGTGCAGCGCAAACGGACCATGTGAGTGTTCAAAAACCCGGTGATTTCAATGTGATTTCCTGTCTGACGGCTTCCAGCTGCCTGAGGAAAGCAGGCCATCCATGGCCATCCATGAGATTGGAAGAGTTCCAGTCCCATGGTTGGAAGGAAGGAATTACTAGTATTTATGTTGCTAGTAGCAAGTGCATCGCCTACTAGTAACAAGAAGCTACGAACGTAGTTTTTGAGATTGACCCCCAACCAAGCACAAAAACAGGCAGATTGACATCTACGACCCGACAAACACAAACAGCAAAACCACCACCTTTGGAAGACGATTTCCCAACCTACCACACTGCAGTTGTTTTGAGGTTCCACTGTAGATCTCTTCCAGGGTGTAATGATGTGCAATGCCAAAACATATGGTTTTCCTCAACAAAACTATACCCAAACACTCCATGTGACGCCATTGACCCCTCAAACCACCCCTGGCCTGATCGGCAGTCCTATGGCAGTCCCATTAAACGGGATAGATTCCCATAGATTCTCTTCGCCTCGGTCTCTTCGAACCCTCGCGCCCCGCGGCGGCGACGCCGTTCCCCCCCCCGCGGCCGCGGCCGGCGCAGCCGTGCGGCTGCGCCAAGTTCCGCCGCAGCGAGGTGGTGCCGCAGCCACCAGTGCCGATGATCGCGAAGTCGATCTGGCGCCACGTCGTGCCCGGAGAGGGAGAGAGGTGGTTCTTTCTTCGCGAAAGGCGAGAGAAGGAGGCTGAACAGCATTGGAAGAAGCAGGAGGCTTTTCACTCAAAGAACCTGGCTGTTTTACTAAGGACAGCAAAGCCAGGTCAACCTGTTTCTTAGAGCTTGGGTCGTACGTACATTTACTCACCGTCCAGCCTGAGTCCGCCGAAATCGAGTCTAACCTGAACTGATTCGTGGTTTTGAAATCCCTTCATATCCTACGTAAAGGATTTCAATTGCCATATTGGAACAACCATTTGTTTCTGGTTGGGACTAGGTTCATATCATTTCATATCCCTTCTACCAAAAGGACATCTTCGGGTCTGGTTCAGTTCGCCTGTTCGGACAGTCAAGGTCTATCCACTGCGACTGTCCTGCCCTGGGCAGGTCCTTTCTCCAAAGCCCAACGTCGCGCCGGTCGCGCGAGAGGCAGCTTTGGTATATCCCAGGCCCAGTATCAGTGGATGATGCATGCTGGGTCCGGCGTGGGGGCTGACACGGTTGACCCAAAGGTGGAATTGGTCTTCTTACCCAGGAAGGATGTGGATCACCTGCAAATCACCGAACTTGTTGTAGGATAAGTGGGGAAACCCACTCAACAAGATAGAACAGGATGGAAGTTTGGTTCATGCCATTTCGAGAAACAAAACGGCTCAGAAGTAAAATAGACCAGGGCCCCCTAACAGGTGTCCAATAATGGCTCCTTGGAGGTTAATGGGTGTCTATTAACCACCCCTTAGGGGGCCCTGGCATAAACGAAATTCGTCTATAAAGCCTTTGGAACTCTCTAGCTTCGCCATGCAAAATATCGTCTTTGCACGGGCGTGGCTTCTGTAAGTCGCAGGTGGGACCATGTTGCAAAGGTTCATGGTTCGCCCAGCCCAGCCCCAAAGTGAGAGCGGGAGTCAGGACTGCCAGTCCCAAACCCGTCGTTTCTGGGACTGTTGGCTCGTGCTCCTCGCCTTCATGAACTTCCAACTGGACAAGACCTTCGCCACTCCACTGAAGCGCTCATAGACCTCGCTGAAGGTCAGGTCTGGTGGTGAAGCTCAGGTCGAATATCTCGGACTGAATATAAATAAGATGTTTAGGAAACTAATAATACCAGCACCACCCAAGGGTACCCTAATAGACATTAATAGACCCTATAGCTAAGGGGCGGTTTACACACGCCCTTTGGATGGTGCTGGTATATACCGATCGAAGTATGCCCAACTACCTAGAAAATCATATGCATTGATGATGCTTACAAGGAAAACCAAGCGATGCGCGAGGCTACCCGTTGCTTTTTGAAGTGATTTCAGTAACATCTCCACCAGTTTTGCAGCACAATGTGGCAAACAACAGCATGTACGTCCAATCTTCTTTGATCACTCGGAATGAGCATACTTCACCCCAGAAACCTCGCTTTAGCGCCATCAAGTGATATCAAAGGTGTCCGTCTGAAAGACAAAGGATTCACGTTCCTATTATGGTGAGTTCGGTGCTGATGGTCACTTCCAACCATCCAGGCAATTCAATAGCAACATAATGGCCGAGGGTCCCACACAAAAAAATGATTTCACAATTTCTGATAGTTTTCACGGGGGGGGCAGGGAAGACTTGTTCCAATCTGCACAATGAGGTAGTCCTCAAGCCTGCGCGCGCTGCGCTCGCGGACCCTTCAAAAGGTCTCCATGGCCGAAAGCAAGTGACACCCACTATGGTATGATGGCAGCTCATGGCGATCTAAAGGTGCAAACCACCCAACTTGTGCCAAAATCCGGGGCTGGTTATGGCGGAATAGGTGCGTTGCAACTCACCAACAAACAATATCAGTCAGGGGGATCATCTAAAAAGACATGCCACATACATCTAACATAATGCAAACGAAACCACCACCCAAAGGGACACATCATGTATCCAAAAGTTAAACCATATCGAAACTACCATCCCAAAGGGTAGAGGTTTTCCTCCACTTTCCACCAGGTCCATCGGTCCATGGAAACGACGCCGCGAAACGCCTGTGGATTGCTGAACGAGATCATCGGAGCAATGCTGCGCAGCACGTGGCGTGTCTGACAACCTCACCGCGCGCGCGCGCGCGGGGACCGGAGAAACGCACTCGGGGACCGGCGTCACCATGGGGGTTTGGGGCTCAACCCAACAGAGGTTGAAAGACCCGAACTTGACTATCCCAGTTGGGTACTCCAGTAGGGTACAGTAGGGTCCTATAAGGTCACTTAACCTCTCTTGGACAAGCGTGGGCAAATATCGGCAAAGATGGCTGGTTGACCTACCCTGGCAGGTCAAACATGGTCAAACTACATGGTGTACCTGTGTACCAGGGCTCCACACTTTGACCCATCCCTATACCTGGATCCTCCTTTGGGCGGAAAAAGTGCCGGACCTCAATCCGGCAAAATTTTCCGCCGGATTCCGAAAAAAACGCCGGAGACCTGAAAAAACATCCGGATCCAAGATTCTGAAAAACAGATGATAAAAGGTTGGATCATACACAAGGAAACTGCCTTTGCGCCGCGAGTAGTTTTTCTGGAGCACACTCGAACCTTCCCGTTCCCATTGCCCTCGCCCATCTTCCGAATGGCCTAAGAGCAAAACCGTCACACAATATAAGCAACTTGTGCCCAAGCAAAGACTTCCAAGAAAAAACCAAGGAGTATGTGGCAAGGAACCCCTCTTTCTCTGCAACCGTGTCTCTGAAGTGTTTTTTTTACAAAGTGGGCTGCTCTCCATGATTCTTATGCTTCTTAATGTTTCATTAAAGCTTGCCTCAGGACGGCCCCCCCAATAAAGTAGTAGCAGAACTGAACTCATGGTTCCTGTCAAAGCTCTTCTGTGAAAAACTGTTCACAATCAAAGCCTGCAGAAGACTCAGTCCAAAAAAAATGCCGGAGTTACGGGAAATTACGCCGGAGTTACGGGAAATTACGCCGGAATTACGGAAAATTACGCCGGAGTTACGACGTGCCATTTTTTTGACAACTCTCTGCAAAACATTGAGGTTCTGAACAACACATGTTCCACAGCCCAAAACTTGTCCGGCAGGCTCTGCAAACCTGCGCAGCTAGAACTATATCCCAGCGCCCCGACATCCTGAAACAATGGGAGTACATTTTTGCCTATGCTCTTTCAGCTTAGGTACACCCACTTGGGTCTTTCAACAGGTGCATCGCACTGTACCGGCTTCATCCGATTTCATTTAGAAGATCACCTAAACGGATCTGATTGATCCAGTGTGAACCATGCTGAAACCGGTGGAATGAGAAAACAGCGGAACAGGCAAACGAGCACACTTTGCAAACAAAATCATTGCATGCATCAGTAGTGGGTTTACCTTCAAAGAAATGCAAACCACAAAGAATGCAAAGCCTTGAGAATCCACATAAAGTGACTTGGAAAAAGCGCCGGACCAAATCCAGAAAAACGCCGGAGTTGGAAGTCCGGCGCCAGACCCTGTAAAAGTGCCGGACTGAAGATCTAGGTATTGGCAGTAAATACCACCAAACCTATCAAGGCCGCTACCTCTGGGACAACTAGGACTGGGAGTCCAAAGGTGGGTTGGGCTTACAATTTATTGACCCAAAAGCAACAACTTTTCAGGCAGCTTCAAATTCCAGGTCGTTGAACCTTGCTCATAAACCTTGCCTGTAGCTGGGGTGAGTCCAATGCTCATACCACCCTGTGGCAAAAGCCATAGACTTTCAAGATGGAAAATGCCAGTTCTCAGTGTGATTGACTTTCCTCTACCACCCCTATCAGGCCCATTATAAGTATAAGAGCCAAAACAATTCTTCAAAGGCCTCCCAAAAACAGATCTGACACCCTGGAGATTCCTCCAACGTCTGTCCTCTCGGGTGCTCCGAAAGCCATTTGCAGCAGCGAGCCACTGGCAAGCGCGCACACCGTGTTATGGATCTCTGTCAGGTCCTACGAGGTCGCTGAATGCTGTGCCAACGGCAAAGCCATGAGAGGGTGGCCTCTGAGAAGCCACACACACACACTTAGACTCATAGCTCAAGTGAATGAGCATTATGTTCAGTGGTCGTCAGCAACGCAGTAGCACTTTAAGATACTTTAAGTGAATACGTAGCCCTTGACTTGCACACCGCAAAGGCGATCAGTCAGCGCAAATGAAATGTTGAAACAAAACTGAAGGACCTGGAAACAGCCTGGGCGAGGGTGAACCACTGGAGTCACTGTGTTCAGAGCAGGTACGTCGGCGAGCGTCCCACCGATATCAGTGTTCAATGCAAGCCTCTTCGTTGGGCTGGTACTTGCATGAACAACCAGCCCCCCTGCTAGGTGCTTCATCGTACTCCTAGAGATGGAGGTGGACACACACACACAACGGGCCGCAGAGCGGCGCACTCTCGCTACAAACGTTTTTCAAAAAACGCCAGCAAGCCGTGTCTGGGTGCCCCTTGGCAATGTACAGTTCAATCAGCTGCCGGATTGCGCCCAAAAAAGGAAACGACCGGGACTAGCACAAGGCTGCCGATTCAGTCTGGGGTGGTTTGAGCTTGGCGGGGGTCAATGTAGGCCATATATGTCCTAATTATCATGGAGTGTTTGAGAGACCCAAAGTCTCCGGACTGACCCCTCAAATCAACACATATTCCAGTTTGGGATCTTGAGCATATAGGGCGCAGCTTTTCACAAATTGATGCCCGCAAAAACATCACGTTGGTCTCATCTACTCTCACTCACTCACTCACTCACTCACTCTCTCTCTCGCGCGCGTCCTCCAAGCTATCGCGATGCCAAACGGTGGTGTTCCACTGCAAACGGACCTCCCACATGCGACCTCCAATCGACCAGCAGGCCACCAGCATACTCAGTGCGGTTGCATGTGCGAATGGCCCAAATCTGAAATAAGCTACTGGGAAGGGCATGGCCAGTGGTTCATTTTTAAAGGCTATGCACAGCGGGATTCATTTCCTGAAACTTTCCTATGTCCACCAGCACCCAAACTGTAAGTCAACTGAGGGACAACCTACAAACCCAAAGAATCCCTGTATCATGGAATATCTGCATTTTTTGGGCGTTTTTGCGGGTGTTCTTCGGGTCTGCTTGTCGGTTTTTAAGGTCCAAGCCACCCATCTCTCTCTCTCTCTATCTATCTCTCCTGCATGGGCATTCTATTCTACGTCGGCAAAAAGAGGCATTCGCGAGAGGCATTCTTGCTCGAAGCGCAAGTTTAAGGATTGCAGGGCAACAAATGCCAACGGATTGCAGTCAAGGTACGTTTTTCAAGTCTATGGGTTGGTCACGGTTAGTCAAGGATTGCAGGGCAACAACACAGGTTGAAAGAACCCGACTGTTCGACTATCCCATCTGAGTGAATTAAATTAGTTTCATTAATTTCGTTCACCTCGTGCCTCGTCTTAATTTCATGTTTTGAAATTATTCACCTCGCCTCGTTTAATTTCAATAATTTCATTCACCTCGTCTGCATTTGGTGGAGGGGGGGGCCTGAATGCCTGCCATGACTTCCTGCACGTGCAAACTAGTAATCGGGCCTATTTCTTGACAATAGGTTGTTTTTTGCCTTTGGGATTCTTGGGGCTCTCTGCCCTGCATGGTGGGTGGAAGAATCCCTATAGCTTCTGGAAACTACACCCAACAGTGGCCCCTACAAGCCCCAATCCCTTCAAGCATGCTTGGGTCAAAATCGGGCCTATTTCTTAATAGGTTGTTTTTTTGTTTTTGGTATTCTTGGGGCTTCTGTGTGGCGTGGTGAGTTGAGCCCCTGAAGCTCCTAGAAACTACACCCAACAGTGGCCTCTACAAGCCCCAGTCCCTTCAAGCATGCTTGGAACAAAAATCGGGCCTATTTCTTAAAAATTGGTTGTTTTTTGTTTTTGGTATTCTTGAGGCTTCTGTGTGGCGTGGTGAGTGGCTCCCCTGTAGCTCCTGGAAACTACACCCAGCAGTGGCCTCTACAAGCCCCAAACCCTTCAAGCATGCTTGGGACAAAAATCGGGCCTATTTCTTAAAAATAGGTTGTTTTTTTGTTTTTGGTATTCTTGGGGCTTCTGTGTGGCATGGTGAGTGGAGTCCCTGTAGCTCCTGGAAGCTACGCCCAGCAGTGTCCCTTACAAGCTCAAATCCTTTGTGCTGCTGCTGTTGCTGGACTTACCTCGCTTATTTTTGTTTTGAAATTATTCTACCTCGTACCTTGTCAGGTGAGCTCGCCTTAATTTGCCCAGATCCCATAGGTCCATAGGTACCCCAGGTTCCGGGTTCTAGTTCAGGTCACTGCACCTCTCTTTAGATATGTTGAAGCACGTCTTGGAACATCATAAGTCCCCCTAAGCATCTGACCCTGGCAACTCCTGTAGGTCCTAGGGTGCTTTGCACACCTGGCTGAATTCTCCCAAAAGCGTCGAGATGTCTCAGCCCGCACAAATTCGGTTCCGGCCATCAAAGCAAAGCAATTGAGCACACGAGCTGACACGAGCTGACTAAAACAAACCAACAGACTCTAAGACTGCCATTGGGGCCATGTTCCAACGTCAGGACTCCGCGTCTGACGAGCAACTCGGGTCCGTCGTCGGGTCCATCCCATTCAGCTCAGCGTCTGGTGCACCCAATTGGACAGCTTCTTGAGCTGGACCACGTTTTCGTCCCCTTCCTCGAGGAAAAACGAAAGACTCCCGAGAAAGACCGGAGAGGTCGTCGGGAGGTCTGGGGATGGGGGGGGGTGGGTGTCAAGAAACAGCTGTAGAATCCGGAGAATTATTCAACCCCCCTAATTGTAAAACCTCTTCAGGGGTACCAATACCATCCAGATTCTACAGCTAAAATGAGATCGCCCTGCAACAAGGCTTCTGGACACAGCCCTGGGGTTGCACACTTACTCCTGCACCACCTAGCGCCACCTTGCCGGCCAATTCCACGCGTTTCGTGGGGTCTTGGGAGGACCACCAGAGGACCACCAGGATGCTTCACCTACACCAAGGCTCCATCAAGAAGTACTCCTGAATGGCCTGAGGAATCCATTCTCCTCGAGCGATCTTGAAGGGGAAGGCTCCATACCTGGCTGAGCGTGGATTCGCTGCAGGTTTGCGAAGCGAAGGTGGGTTTGGAAGATGGTGATGACACCGTGGCGATCCGTGGTTGATCCTCAACATGAAGCAAGGCAATTGCCTCCAATGAACCTCCTTGTAGGATGAGATGATAAATCATGAGTCCAAAAAGTGTTGGGATCATCTGTGTATGTTTTGCGCATTTGTCTTAAAGGAAGCACTCCTTATGAAGACTCCAGGTACTGGCATCGGGAAGCTTTCTCTTGTTAGCCATGTTGCCCAACAGCGAACCTCAATGTGTTTGCAGGCCGCGGTTCCTAAGCCATGGGCAAACAACATAAGCTTAACCTCTAGGGTCACGGTGTCTGGCTTTCTGAGCCACATGTGGAATGGAATCAGCATGAACTGCTGAACACATCTTGTCCGAAGTTACTGGCCGCCTTGTGCAACTATATTCCCCTATGTGCATTTATGGACGGCCCTCATATGGAAAGCCAAATTATGTCACTGCTAAACATATTCCATACCATGTTTTTTTGCGGAGGACACATTCCACACAAAATCACTAGGAAGCTCCCTGGAAGCTCTGCGAGACCTATCTCAGTGCAATGGAATCCAAAGGTACATTGACATTGACCCCTCAAAGTATCCGGATGGTAAGTATGCCATAATTACATGGAGCGTTTGGATGATCAACACCTGGAGGAAAGAATGCCTCGAAGCTCCTCTATCTGCACTGCCTGGCCACCTCTAAGTCGCAGGAAAGCAAGTCGGACAGCCAAGGTGCGTGGTAAATTCCTGGCATTTGCACGATTGGGTGTCAATGGCCCACAAGCCACTGGGAAGAATCCAGCGATGGTTGCTCATGACTCTTGTCCCGCGAAACTTACACTGGGCTAGTCAAGCACACCTCTCCTGCAATCAACCTCAATAGAACTCGCCTAGCTTTTCTGAGGTGAACTCGTCCTCTTTTTGTCCTCAGTACCATGTATCAACTAGATGTAAATTATCTATCATGCATGTTTCAGACTGATTTGAGGATCCGCAATCACACATGATCTTTGAGGGTTCCATGCTTCTTTGCGGGTGAAATCATCCTTCTTCAGTGGGATCACAGGAAGAGCAAACTACCCACAAGCACGGAATCTGCTCATCAAACGCAAATAAACCACAAAGGTTATCAAATAAATTCAAATAAGTCTTAATTCAAAATATTCCCACCAACTTAGACTGGCAAGAGTAAGCATCGGTGTTCCAACAGGCCGGAGAGAGAACCCAAATCTCCCTCCACAGCGCTGCCCGAGCCTGCTGTTTTGCCTTGAACTCCTCTTCACAAGACCTCAAATGTGCACGCTGGAAGAAATTGTACTGTAGATCCCTTGGGCTCCAACCACCTCCTGAGAAAGTGGTTGGGGTGGGCTTTGGGGGTCTAACCACCTTCTGAGGATATGGTTGGAGCCCTAGGGGAGTGTCGCAAGGCCTGGCCGTTGTCAAGAAATCCAAGTCGTATTCGAGACCGTGAAGAAACATATCACCGTTGACTTTAGCCAAACTATTGCCACACTCACACAGGGATGGCCATGTACCTTCCATCCTTGGCACCATGTCCACAAGTTCTAACAAAAAACCCTGCCACACTCCCTGCCACCATTCTGCGTTCTTTTCAGATCAGGGTCTAGTCTATATAGACCCCCTGTCATAAATAGAAGTTCGCAGATCCCCAGGTCGACCAAATGTCTTGGACACCCGCGCCTACGACATCGGGGCATCACTACATGTACCCTAACATACCGTACCCTAACCACCCACATCTCAGGTTCGGTACGACTGGGCCCTCCAATGGCGCCTACATCAATAGACTCCGTCCTCACCGTACCTGAGGTACGGTACCACTGGATCCCTATAGGGTTTGGGGGGGGTCCTGGTGTACCTCCTACGTCCTCACCATACCGACCTGGTTCGGTCTGTGGGACGGCTCGGAGGTGGTGGAGACGCCGGAAGTGAGGAGGATCGGCGCGGGGTGGTTGCCCAAGGAGGTCCTGAAGTGGTTGCCCAACATACCCTAGGGCTCCAACCATCTCCTCAGGAGGTGCCACCCCAACCACCATCTCTTTCGAGGATGAAGCAGAATCTGGAGATAGCTACGGATTTGCTCAAGGAACCTGAACAAAGAATCCCAGAAGGGGATTCCGGATTCACCTTTTGTGACCCCTATAGGAAAAACTAACAATCGCCTCAAGCAAAACCAGGGCTATGAACCGCCCATGAAACCATGACGACCTGCTGCTCCCATAACTGCCACCTGCTAAAAAGCTTGCCCAGAACAACATTTTTTCATCTCCCCCAAATGATTGGCCTGATGTGCCCTTAACTGGAGGTATGGAGTACCTCAGGTCTACCACTCTTGGCCATGGATAGACCTCACACCTCTTCGCCCAAGTGGCGCCCATGTGCTCCCTACGAGCAGCGCAGCGGCCGCTGGCAGCCAGACCGCGCCCATGGCGCCCACCGCGGCAGCGCCGCTCGCGGCGCATGGGCGGGGGTGGCGTCCATGGTGAAGCGATGGTGGCGCTGCCAAGGTGCTACCCCCCAAAAAAAAACATCAACGCCAATATAGAGTCTTCAAGAAAGGGTGTCAAAGAGATGCATGAAAGTCAGTCTGTCTGATCTGACTTTGAATGTCATAGATCGTCAGAGACGTCCGAGTGAGTGTCAACATTGGAGTGGCTAGACTCCAAACAGTCTTTGCAATTCTTTTCTGCTTTTGTTCAGTCTCCTGGGCGTTGTTTTAGGTACAAACCTAGCGGAGAAACAACCAAATAAGCAGTATGTGGGGCAAAACATGTTGAACAAGCGGTGGGAACCCATTCTGAAACATCTTGCAAGACATGTGGTTGGTCATGGCCCATGGCTCCTTGCCCACCAAAAACACTCTCAATCGTGGGACACAGGAGTTGGTAGGAGTTGGGCGTAAACGGTTTTTGCCTGTTTGCCGTTGCATGGCGCCCTGAGCTTATATAGCGCAAGTCGTGATGTTTTTCAGGCGGCGAGCTTTTCAGGCGGCGAGATTGGGCGTGGAGTCTTTCAATCCATGAGCTCTTTGCCCCGTGACGTTCCAATTGTTGAGCAAATGATTATCGATGATGTTACGAACATTTCCCTGCCTGAAAGCCAACCCCCCGAAAGGCGGAATCGGGATGATGTTTCAAGCCGCGAGCCACGGAATCAGTGGCATAGCTGATCCAAACCTCATTTTTTGGAGCATTCCCTGACCAACAGCAACAACTAGAACCACCTCAAGGGTGGTCGTTAGTGAACACTTGGTCAGGAGGTCTACAAACAAACCGTGTGGTGGTGCTGGATTGGGATTCCTTTGTAGGTGGAAACCGGATCCACCCAACATACATCCACAACACGCACACTGCACACACAACCACACACATACCCTATAGGGCTCCAACAATCTCCTGCAAAGGTGGTTTGACCCGTGAATCCCACCCCAACCAGCTTCCGAGGAGGTGGTTGGAGCCCTAATCCATATACCAGGTTCGGAACGGGTCGGTGTGTACAAACCATCTCTTGGGCTCCATGTCCACCACGTGCGGATGCTCAACCCACCTCCACTTACCACGAGTGCGTCCTGCATAGGTCACTTAGGTCACCCGTAGACCGTAGGTCACCCGTAGACCGAAGGAAACCCGCAGACCGAACTTGTGGCTGCCTGACATTCCACTGGGGAAACGGTTGAGGCAACCTCCACTCAAAGTAAACTAGTAAGCCTTCTTAGTAGGCCAACTGCTACTGCCCATTGGATTCCTTCCGAAGCCGAGCATGCGTGGCTGCGGCTGACACTTCTCCATGCTCTCCATCCACCATCTCCATGCTCGGTGCCTTCTGACCCATCCAGCCCGTCCGGGACCCCGTCCAGCCCGGCCTCCTGGGGCTCCGCGAACTCTTCGAAGGAGATCTCGCCGGAGTTGTCCTCGTCCAACTCCTCCGGGGTCGAGAGCGCCGCCGGGGGCGGCGAGAGCGAACGGCCCGTCTCGGTGGGGATAGGCGCAACCCAAACAAGGATCATTGGGATTGGAAGAGTTCCCACATAAAGCCCTATGAACATGTGTATTTATAGGCATAGGGTATAAACATTATGTATAAACCTATATAGTTTCAACCTATTCCATACATTGTCTGGGTTCAGATCTATGTACAGTAGCCCCTCCGATGCTGAACGGAACCACCAATGACTGGTGGCAAGAACTGGCGACCGCGCGCCTGCCAAAGCTTCACACAATCCTCCTTTTGGCCACCAAACTTCAGCTCCTCCAGTGGCGGATGCAGGGAATCTGCCCGGCATGACCGGCAAGGCCCAGTCATGACGGTCAAAAACAGTAGCTCACATGTGATCTAAAACTCCTGGAAACCCTTTTGGCGCCTGTGATTCCTGGGGTTCCTGGCCAAGCATTGATATGGTCTGAATCCCAAAGAACCGTTCGGGAATTTTAGACCCTAGGGCTCCTGGCCCATCTCCTCAGAAGGTGGTTAGACCCCCAAAACACACCCCAACCACCGAACCTCAGGAGGTGGGCCAGGAGCCCTAGGGAGACTACAAACCAGGTCAATCATGATGGTCCGGTCTGAGAAGGCGCGCGGACACTCCGACAGATCCACTGCCACCTTCTCAGGGGATAGCAAGGCACGACTGGACCCTATATGAAAGTGTCTCCAATCACCTTCTGAAAAGGGTATGTGGATCCATAAGGGGAAAGGCAGGGATAGCAAGGGGGGCCGTGAACGGAGACTTCAACGGCTCTGCGAATTGCTGCAAAATCTCATCGAACTCGCATTATCAAAAAAAAACGTATAAGCATGCCTTGTGAGTTGTGTCGTGTTTTGTTTTTTCCTGAAGTGCTGGACATTGTAGTTGAGGCCAGTCTTCCGGATGTTGCCAATCATGACACTGACGATGTCACTTCTCACCCCTGGACGATGGACAAATGAAGGGAAATGGACACTCGTCCCAAACAATCCGAACTGAAGATCCCGGAGAAAAGCGAAAACCACCCCTTGCATCGATCAAGTCTGGAAGAAGGTTCCGCTCGTGATGCGCACCGCGGGCTCCGGGCATGGCCTTGAGACCCTTGTCGAACTCTCGATAGTCGATTCCTTAGCGGAAAGGCACCCTCTCAGACGAGCGCGTTTGGGAAAGGAACGGAGTCAACATGCATTGCAGCCATTTTTGGGGATGTGCAGAACTCGGTGCAGTCAGGTCAACAGAGCTTTGATCAACGCAATTTTGATCAGTTTTATGTATAGCTGCAAGTTGAAAGGAGATCAATCCAAACGCCTGAATACTTGCGTTCGACTTCTTGGTATCCGTGTCATGAGCTTTGACAGGGGTGCCTTATCAGTTTTGGTGCAATCTGCGCGGACCAATTGTCTGTCCATGTCATAGTACGCAAACAACAGTGGCCTGTGGACCGCAGGAGCATGTTTGAACGAATCCGTTACCCATCCATGAATTACCCAAATTCTGGAGATTAAACCATAGATGGAACCCACCAGTGAAGCCCGAAGCACCCAGTGCAACTCCTTCGTGAACGCCACGCGGCGATAGCTCTGATCTTTGTCGAAGTGATGGAACCATGCCTCAGAGGCACCAGGGTCCAACATCTCATCTACCCTCCTTCAAAGGACCCCATGGACTCTCAAAACCACATGGTTGTAAAGGAAACTGGTCGAAACCACGGGGTCATGTTCAGGGTCCATGTTGCGGGGGGCGCAAGCATGCAGAAACCACGTTTGGAACCCCACACACGTATCACGGCCGGGCAGTCACTTGCTCACTTGTGGAGGATGGAGGCCTACAGCAGTTACACTCCAGCATCCACGAACTAGATCAACCAAGTGATCCTGGTGCCATGACCCACAGCCCTATATACCAAAATCACGTGGTCTGGTCAAGCACTTGACTCGTGTCTGGTACGTGTGACCGACGACCGGCCCTTGGGCTGAAACGGTGCCCAAGCGGGACCCGCCGGTTCGGTGCCCATTTTGGACCAAAGGGACAACGATTTTTGGTCGCACGAATTCTCCCTGACTCCTTCCAGCAGAGGTTGAAGAACCCGAACTAGACTATCCTATAGGTATACCCTTTAACATCCCCCTTGTGGAGGTCTCTGGGGTGAGGGATTTGATTTCAGAAAGAAAAATCATATATAAAATGGAATCCCTCAGGCTGCTGCTTTATAAAATGAGAACCCGACCTATTTATATAAGGGCGAGACAACATACAAAAGCAAAAAATGAAAATCCGCAAACGCATTTTTCCTCTTTATGGAATGGTTTTCCATGAGCCAGTGATCATTTTGATCCGAAAATGGTCCATGTTTATGGAATGATCAACCAACATCTTGCTGTGGTTGTGTCCACTATAAGTCTAAAGCCATGGGAGCCTGCATGGGACTATCACACTATAATGAGCCATTTATGGTATAGCACTATAGTGGCTATAGGCTCCATGTAGGCAAATCCTATGCAGGACTAGTTTCTGTTAACTCTTTTTGAAGAAGAATAATTCACTCAAAACATCTCAAAAGAATGAAAGTCAACTTTAATATCAACACAAGGGAGCAACTGTGCAATTTAAGACAAGTGATAGCAACCGAATCAAAACATTTCCATTAATTTCCCATCATTTGAACGTGGCACATGGTGAATGCTCAGGTTTCGATCAGCACACAAAATCATGTCAAAATGTTCAATGAACATCAATGAACATATTTATGTGTGCAGTGTTTTTCCTTTTGGCATTGTTGTGTTTCACATGTTTTTGCTTGCAAGTTTGTTGAGATGATTGCATTCGGTTGCTATCACTTGTCTTAAATTGCACAGTTGCTCCCTCGTTTTGATATTAACGTTGACTTTCATTCTTTTGAGATGTTTTGAGTGTGATTCTTCTTCAAAAAGAATTCACAGAAACTAGTCCTGCATAGGATTTACCTACAGGGAGCCTATAGCCACTATACGGCTATACCATAAATGGCTCATTATGGTGTGATAGGCCCATGCAAACCCAGGTATGTACTAGAAACCTTGGTTGTAGGGCCACTATTGTAAGCGATTCAACCACAGCGCAAAAAAAGTGACCCAAAACGCGGAGGTTGGATCGCCTCATTTTATAAACCGCACCCTGCCCATCGTATTTGTGCACACCCTCCCAGGGAAAAGATGGTAAACCCATTTTATAAACATGTTCACCTCCCAAAGCCTATCGTATTTGTGCACACCCTCCCAAGGAAAAGATGGTAAACCCATTTTATAAACATGTTCACCTCCCAAAGCCCATCGTATTTGTGCACACCCAGGGAAAAGATGGTAAACCCATTTTATAAACACGTTCACCTCCCAAAGCTCATCGTATTTGCTTGAACATTTTCACCTCCCAAAGCCCATCGTACTTGTGCACACCCTCCCAGGGAAAACATGGTAAACCCATTTTGTAAACATGTTCACCTCGCGAAGCCCATCGTATTTGTGCACACCCTGCCAAAGAAAAGCTGATAAACCCATTTTATTAACCTTTTTCCACCTCCCAAGGCCCATCGTATTTGTCCACACCCTCCCAGGAAATAGATGGCAAACCATTTATAAATATTGTTCCCTGCCAAGGCCCATCGTATTTGTCCACACCCTCCAGCTCTTTGGCAGAGGGAATGGTTTATAAAATAGTTTTCCCCTTCCAAGGACTATTAAATCAATTGGCAAACATGTCAAAACTGAACCACGCAGCAGCAATTCACATATGCTTCATAAAATGGTTCTATTCTCTCACACCATTACTTGTTTATAAAATGAGCAACCAACAGCCTGCTGTCTCTATGTTAAAAAGACTCACTGTTTATAAAATGTACACAGGAGCCAAACCGACCCTTTTTATGAAATGACGAGACAAGATGCATAGGTTTTTTTCCGAATGCATTGGTAGCGAAGGGTTCCCGTTTATAGTTGGGGGTCTGGGGGTTGGAGCTGTCATTGCTTGCGTCGTGTCGTCGTCTGTCGTCGTCTGTCGTCGTCTCTCGTTGTCTGTCGTCGTCTCTCGTCGTTTGTCGTCGTTTGTCGTCGTCGTCGCGTCTCAAATTCGCTGCCATTGGGGGAAGCTTTTGCAAGTGACTTTTCATGGATGTGTCACGTGTCAGTTTGCGCCGCTATTCCATTGTGATTTGCATGAGAATGACATGTCGCGCAAGAGACGTGATGCATTTCGCTGCACAGGCGCAGCGTTTTGTGAGATCCGCAGATTGCTGCGCAGTTCCATTGGGATTAGCGTTTGGAGAGTCGTGTTTTTGGGGTGTTGGATGTGGCCGTGCCATTGAGATTTGCGTTTCAGGGTGTGGCATCGAAGCTCGGTTTTCGTGACAAGTCTCAGCTGAAATGGCGATTTTGGTGGATGGGAGTGTGCTCAGAACGGGTCGAAATCATTCCAAACGTGTGGTGTGGTGCAAATTTTGTTGAAGCTCACATGCGATGATCTTGTCACTTTTCGTGGCAGGCGCAGGACTTTGCGCGGGTTTTGAGGCGTGGAAGTGCGATTCTCGTGGCAGGCACAGGGAATCGTGAGGTTGCGAGGTGTGACGGAGGTGACATTTCGTGGCAGGCGCAGTACTTTGTGCGCGTTAGACGTGTGGACGCGGAAAGATTCGTGGCAGGCGCAGGGAATCGTGAGGTTGTGAGTTGTGGTAGAGGTGAATGTCGCTGTCACATTGGGATTGGCGTGTGAGCGGATGTTGTTTGGAGGGGCTGGAATCGCGAAACTGCTTGGCAGGGCTGCGTGATGTGTGCGCTCCGATGGGTGTTTCGGCTTGACTTTTGGAGGAAGTCTCGTACGTTTTGCAGACTTTGACGTGTGAGTTTTTGAGGAAGTCTCGTACGAAACGCTCGTTTTGGAGACTTTGTCATGACCAGAGACTGAGGTACTGGAACGGTTCTGGATGGGTTGGGCCAACTCTGTACCAAAAGCCAAAGAAGAATTCCGCGCAGAAGCCAAGCAAGCGACGAAGCATTTGCCTTCAACCGACATCTGTGTGGTCATGGACGGCTGCCAAGGCACCGAAATTTTCTCGCCACCTTCGCGAGTCACCTCTTCGAAGCGTCGTAGAACATCATCCGCTCCAGGCTTCACCGCAAAAGCCGAGCCCCGATCCGACTGTCCAGCATACTCTCCAGACAGAAAACATCAAGAAATTTGCATTACCAACACAAGTACCAACACACAACTAAAGGCCTGCAGACGGGTGTGCAAAAGGTGATGCTTTTGCTGCTGCTTTTGCTTTTGCACTTGCTTTTGCCTCTGTCTGGACTGCTGATGGAGCTGGTGGTGGGGACGGTGGAGGTGGTGGAGGTTCCTCTGGAGACTCAGTTGGACTGCTGCCTGATGGTGGAGACAGTAGCTTAATGGCATCCCCAATCTGCCACTCACGCCTGATGGCCCCTGACAGAGGTTCCATCGCCTCTGACAGAGAAGTTCATGAGGCATACCACTTCGTCGACACCGATGTCCTGCAACGTCTCTGCAAAACTTCTACCCCAAGCTTCAACCAAGAGTCTCTTGTCAGAAGCATCCTTCACCCAGAGCTCTGTCTTCTCCTGGGAGCAAAGCGAGACTGTCACGTTTCTTTTTGCAAATCCAACCAACATATAAAATTATGTCAAGAAAAGAAAGACACATGCTTTCAGAGTATCCTGCCTGATTTTCTTTGATGATGCGATGATTGAGGTCGCAAATCTTGCAAGTCAAGTCAGCCTTGTTGCCATTCTGCAATCCTTGCAGATCCGCAATTTCTCCTGGTGTGCACGGTCCTTTTTGCACAGAGTGCTTCAAAGGAACGTAGGCAGCATCAGTGGGTGGAAGAGCGTCCACTACCACTTTCTGCTTGCGCGTCAAATCTAAAAATCGGCCTCCTGAGTGGTAAGGGCTGCGTTTGAAGCAGGGAGCTTGGAAAATCACCAACGCATTCACAGACAGTTTCTGCATCAAAGCTTCCATTCCCGGCTTGGAACCAATGGCCTCACACCACATACGGTTCTGTCTCTCATCCACCAGCAGAGCGATGACCTTGTGAAAGGCTCGTTTTGGAGAGTGTCTCACAAGAGTGTTCCTTAAGAGTGTCCTACAGGAGTGTCCCACAAGAGTGTCCTACAAGAGTGTCCCGCAAGAGTGTCCCACAAGAGTGTCCCACAAGAGTGTCCTACAAGACAGTCCCACAAGAGTGTCCTACAAGAGTGTCCCACAAGAGTGTCCCAAAAGAGTGTCCCACAAGAGTGTCCCACAAGAGTGTCCTACAAGACTGTCCCACAAGAGTGTCCTACAAGAGTGTCCCACAAGAGTGTCCCACAAGAGTGTCCCACAAGAGTGTCCCGCAACAGTGTCGCTCAAGAGTTTCCTACAAGAGTGACCCACAAGAGTGTCCTATAAGAGTGTCCCACAAGAGTGTCCTACAAGAGTGACCCACAAGAGTGTCCTACAAGCGTGACCCACAAGAGTGTCCCACAAGAGTGTCCTACAAGACTGTCCCACTAGAGTGTCTCACAAGAGTGTCCCTTAAGAGAGTCCTACAGGAGTATCCCACAAGAGTGTCCTACAAGAGTGTCCCACAAGAGAGTCCTACCAGAGTGTCCCACAAGAGTGTCCTACAAGAATGTCCCACAAGAGTTTCCTACAAGAGTGACCCACAAGAGTGTCCTACAAGAGTGTCCCACAAGAGTGTCCCACAAGAGTGTCCCGCAACAGTGTCGCTCAAGAGTTTCCTACAAGAGTGACCCTAAGAGTGTCCGATAAGAGTGTCCCACAAGAGTGTCCCAGAAGAGTGTCCTACAAGAGTGTCCAACAAGAGTTTCCTACAAGAGTGACCCACAAGAGTGTCCCACAAGAGTGTCCCAGAAGAGTGTCCTACAAGAGTGT